AAATATACCTGCAAATGTACACAATATCAACACAAGTCTCGTACATCACCTTGTCTATTGTCAGTACTTCACCTCGACCCTCGTTATTCAAACAGCAATTTCAACCGTATTAGGTTAAGTTTGAGCACCAAGCCTCTGATTATGCTTATCTGTTCTTACGGAAGGTCTAAACTACTTGGTCCTTGAAACCGAGTGCGAACTAACGGCGGCGGCGCTTGAATACGAATTATTTTAGATCTACATTTGTATAAATGTATGAATTTAGAAAACATCCATAATATTGAATTTCTACTCTTTAAAAGACTGCTATGTAAGACCCAAGTAGCAGAGAATTCTAAAAAATATTAAATACAAAATTCACGGCTAATATAGCAAACCATTGAATGAATGAAATTTTGCACACATGCTTATGAGGTGTACAGTAAAGAACATAAAGAGTTTCCATAAAATAACAGAAGAAAACTTTCATCGACAGTGTCTACTGAGGCAAGGTAAGTCTCAAAAGCATGTTCTGCCGTCGCAAGGTAATGAAGTTTTGTTTGTACTATGCAATTAACGACCTTAATGATACGAGTATTCATACATAACTATTGGTTAGTAGTTACCATCAGGAGAGTTACGTGTTTATTTGCTTCTATTATGATCATCTGCAACACTTCTGCTCTTAGTTTGCATATCTTTTTATAAGAACATTTTTGACTTGAAAAACTTATCTTGTCGAAGTCAAAGGCTGCAAATTCGTTGGCCAGTTACGTCTTTTTTAATCATTGCAATCAAATAAAGCCCTCATCACACGAAATTGGAAGTCTTAGTACCGATCCTCGGAACTTATAAATAGCTTGATTGGCTATACGCATCAGTAATGAAGGTTCCATCCTTACTTAAAGCGACAACCCCATTCCTGCCAATCTACATAAATTGGCTGCGTGATCCTTCCAATAACTTTTTGCAAAAGATTAGGACGTACATATATGTGACAGTGAGCTCTGAGGAATTGAACGCTATACGTACTTATGATCAAAGGAGATGAGATTATAAGGTTCGAAACTGCAACATAAGAAAGTATCCTTTCTTTTTGGTAATTTTCTGGTTCAATGGTTTGATTTTAATAACTATTTTTGTTTTTCTAATTAGTGAAATAGAGTATTTATATTTATTCATACTTCTTGACGATATTTTGCAATGGCTTAGTTCTTTTAAAAGTTTTGGGATATAAATGAAATGTATCCTTTATCTTCTTTAGTAACCCACTTTCGCGTTAATAATTTACTGTATTTTGCTCGCGATTTCGATTGCTTAGAATTAGTACCATGACTAGTCTATTTGTCTCTAAGTTTTCATACATCTCTATACTAAAAAAATATATTTTTGTAAGTGATATTTCTCTTTGTGTATTTTATAATCGTGAGAGTTCCATAAAAATACTGTAGGAAACATATATTTTTTTGTAGCCTGGTCTATTACATGGATACCAGACCAGGCCACAAACGTCACAATATACACATGAATAAACACGTGATCTTAGTTTATTAAACTTTATGCCTTAAACATTTCAGTTATACACAGATTACTAGACTCTTTAAGTAATTTAAAAAGTTACTTAATTGAAGACATGAGATCGATACACTGCCCATAAGAAAACTTTTCCACTTAAAATCAGTAAATTTGCCTAAGTTCAATGAAAGCATTTTGTATTACTTTGAAATCCTTTCTCGGTTTAACTCCTTCACTTATAAAGAATGAAAAAAGTTTTTTCTTTTGTACTTTGATGTGGAAAGTGATCAAAAGGCAATTCTTTGAGGCTTTTTATTTTTTCGTATTCACTTTGAAATAATACTGCTCTTTAGTTTAATTCCGTTTGTTCTAATATTTTTTACCAATTTACGGCACCTTTCAACAAACAATTTAAAATAAATATTCACTTTATTTATAGGAATTGAGTTTGATATAGTTACGTATACACATACTTATTACTTAATAATCCGTGTGTGTATTTCTATTAAACTTAAATGCAATAAGAAAAAATCTTTAGTAGGCACTGCACTACCAGAAATAATTTTCTACCCGGTAATTCAAAATTTACAATTTAACAAACCCTCAAAAAAAATACCAAAAAACATTTTACCTTAATCTGTACTTTTGATTTGAATTTCGGAGGGCTAGCTGGAAAACTGAAATCAAATTTACATTATCTTACATCATTAAAAATGTATCCATCCCTCTTTATCTATACCGTGACGGCAATCATCTATTCACCCTATCAACATTTAGAAGAGCTTGAATGATAGGTCTTTTTACCTCGCGTGCCGAGGAAATGCACTGGCAGGCTAAGGAACTACTGTTGAACACGCGAACATTAATGGAATTTTTGAAACTAACATTAACTGGCGATGAGCTTAGAGGTGAGGTCTATTTTTAACTAAACGAAGCATCTAGCATTGCAGGTTCTTTTCAAAAAAGATATAATGATCGATTAACTAGTTTGGAATTGGGATTGTGCTTTCTTTGAAAGTGGAAAAAAAGAAATTTTTGCTTGGAGGAAAACCATAAAGAGAGTTATGTGTTAATTTGCTTCTACTATGATCATCTGCAACACTTCTGCTCTTAGTTTGTATATCTTTTTATAAGAACATTTTTGACTTGACAACCTATTTATTCGAAATCAAAAGCTGCAAATTCATTAGCCAGTTACGTTTTTGATAATTCTTTGATAATTGCAATCAAATAAAGCCCTCATCACACGAAATTGGAAGTGTTAGTACCGATCCTCGGAACTTATAAATAGCTTGATTGGCTATACGCATCAGTAATGAAGGTTCCATCCTTACTTAAAGCGACAACCCCATTCCTGCCAATCTGCATAAAATGGCTGCGTGATCCTTGCTCCTCCTTGATCCTTGATCTTCATCTCATGCTCTCGAAATGCAGACCATTACATAGGCAGGTGGAAAATGCAATGATATGACACATTATCAAGTTTTTACAATGACCAGATATTTTTCAAACATTGAGGAAATCTGTACAAAATTAGTGTAAAGTTTTTATCGAAATCTTTATGTTCTTTTTATGACGAGTTCTATCTTTCTGTAAAGTCTCCTAAGAGTACCCGGTAGCCAAAAAAAAACAATTAACTATAGAATTAGTCCGTCTAATGCAGGGATGGCGTAGTGGTTTAAGCGGTCGCTACGCCGCTCACTACTACGCTAAGTATTGTAAGTCCGATCCCCACATGGGACGACACTTTGTGTGATTCACAAATTGTTGTTCTGAGTCTAGGTGTTCTTTGTGTCCGTTTCATGTATGTCTGTAAAGTCCCCCGCGACACAGTATTTATTACTAGTGCGGGAATTGTCTTTTTAAGAGATAAATCGTATCATATCGAAATACCTTCTCTCCTCTAAAAGTAATGGAGTACGTCGTCAAGAATTCAATGATACTAAATGTTTTTTCGATATCATCAAAATTATTGGGAATATCACGTAGGACTTAATATTGTCGAAAATTTAGTTATTTGTAATTTCTATCTCTAAAAGAAGCAAATAGTCCCACACATTCAACACGGAAAAGAACGCTATTTATGCGATACCTGACACTGGATTACACTTAAAGAAAAAATAATATATAATAATAAAAAAAACAATAGGTATAGTTTGTTTTTCTGACAGAAAATAAAATTACATAAACTGATGGGCCTATTCTACAAACTGATGGTTTTGACTACAGAAGTCGTGGATTCGATTCCCATCCAGGACATATGTGCATGAATGATCATTGCTTCTGTATCTAGGTCTAGGTGTAATTTATCCATCGGAGTGGGAGTTCTCTCGCTCGATAGCCTGATTGCGGCTATCGTGCGGAGCGAGAGTGCGTGGAACTCTGCCGTCTCCTTCTGCGAGCAAGTTATGCTCGCGAAGGAGACGGCGGAGCGGGACCGGGAGAGGTTTAGGACTCTCCCGGCCCGCCAGGCCCGGGAACGGGCCAGGTACCGCAGGCGACTCAGGCGCCGGAGGTCGCAGAACGACCTCCGTCCTCCATAAGCGCAGGCCTGGGGGTGACATGACAGGTGAGGCCATCTGTCACCCTAGCAGAAGCAGGCCGGGTTGGCGGCGAGCGCGTTGCGAAGCGGGGTAGCGGCGAGCGCTTTGCGAAGCGCGCTCGCCTCCAGGGAGCACAGGGAACATGGGGTTCCCACACAGGGGGGGTCGTCTACTCGTCTGTAGATGACCCGAGGTATGTCGGGGCACCAGGGACTTCCTTTCTAGGTTATACCTGGTTCCCCGGCTATTAGTACCCGAGACGGCGTGCGGTTTTAGTCGGTTCGAGTCCGACATGCCACCGATAGGTGGTATCCGAGGGGATTTCCGCACGGAAAAAAAAAAAAAAGGTGCAATTTTTCCATAATATCTATGAATTTAGTGACAAATTAGTATGTTTATCAGCAGTTTGGTTCCCATAGTACAGGCTCTGCCTAATTGGGAGTCAGAAATTTATTAGAGAAGTTAGTTAAGCACTTCAGCCGTTGGCGATGTGTTTAAAAAACACTTAAAAAACACAAAAACACTAGTTATTTAATAAGTTTATTTGCTTTTCTCTAGGTACTTTTATCGCCATATTAAACTGCCATTTAAGATAAAATATTACGACGTGTAATGTTTGTAATCATAAAATCAATTAATTATACTTCAGTGGTGTCTATTATAAATAAAAGCGATTTAAAGAATGTTGAAGCTCTTGTTTTAGTAATTACTTTGTTTCAAAAGATATTTCGGTCCAGTCACATTAATTTAATTATTTATATTAAATTAGTGGTCGTGCTTCTTATTTGATGAAATAGCATCATATTTACTCTGTATATAACATTCTTTTATCACTGAGACGTAATATAATACTTAATTACTTTTATAGGTAATCTTGTCAACGCCATCTAGCAGAAATAAAGTAAGCTAAAAAGTGAAAAATAATCACACTGGTTAATATTTATATAAGTTCAAAACATTAGCCTAGTCGGGGGACTCTCCATTTGTATCGGAGAAGAAACCGCTGGCATGATCAAGTAAGCGCCTCTGGCCTTTCGGTAAAAATCATTAAGAGAAGTAAGAAATCTAATACATAAAATTCTCGTGTCACGGTGTTCGTGGTTGAACTCCTCCGAAACGGCTCGACCAATTTCCGTGAAATTTTGAATTTAGAATCGGCCAACATATATGAACCATTAATTTTTTTTTGACAATTTTTTTGAAATAATGTATATGGCAAAACAACGTTTGCCGGGTCAGCTAGTAAAGGTATTAAACATTTTCCAGCACAACTTCCCCTTAGCAATAAAGTCCACGATTAAGAAGAGATCTACTCACCATTTGTTCTCTGGGGATCGATCTGTGCGTGCAGTATAGAAAATCCGGGCGCGATGATGGCCGGTAGCGTGCGGGACCGAAGTAGCGGGGGAGGCATGCGTCTCCCACCCCCGCTACCGCCCAAGGCTTCCGCCGCCGCCGCCGCGGCCGCCGCAGCACTGAAAAAAAAAACAGTGTATTGTAAAAATATTTTTAGCACCATCTATTTTTTAACAACTGGTAGTCAACAATGTTCTTTTTAAACCACTCGCTAAATTAGTGCACGCTTAGAGGATTCTAAAGCTCTGCTGACCTTACTCATTATACAAAAGATAAAGTAGTTTTTAATAGTTATAAACCGTAACTAACTTCAATAGATTATGAGTCACCCTTTCCAAAATGAGAAGATTACTTTCGTACGAAAATGGAAAGTGTTCACTCTTCATTCTAAAAAAATGTCCTTAAAAAAACGTCGCATTAGTCACAAATTGTAATTTTTAATGATAAAACTTTTAAATATTACTTAAAACATAAAATTAAATAACAGGTAGGTTAGGTAAGTAGTTTATATATAACGTTTAAATATTCTTTTCATGGGATTAAGATACAAAAAAAAAACAAATTGCCCTCGTGGTAGAGTCATCATCTAAAAATATTGATTTGTATACTTTTAAAAAACACGTATCTAGTACAGGTATCATCATTACAATTTTCGAGAGAATATAGAGAAGAACAGTTCTCAATCTCTAATAGATTTAAAAGCTGAAGCCTGAATATGGAGCGTCCTTTGAAATTGTTTATATATCAGAATCACATCACATATCAACAGCCTTTAATAGTCTACTGAAGGACATAGGCCTCTCCTTAGAAAAGAGGTTTTGGGAGGTTTGCTATAGAGTTTGTGTCAAGTTTTCCTTCACTTAGCAGTGCTGTTGTCTTGCCTAGTTTGCCCCCTTAATCAGATCTTACGACACCCGCGGAATGAATAGAGGTGGTGACAATCGGTATTTTTAATCCGTCATCACACGGAGTAATAAACCAAACACAATCAAAGTACCAAATATTTATATTTGTACAGTTATATATGCAATAAAGAAGTGGAGTACAATTTATAAGCAATAAATAAAAGATACACGTCCTTTCATTTATGTCATGAGTTAGATAATACCCAAAAGTCCAAACATATAAAGAGCTTGATACTTGAAGTGGGACACGAACAAAAATGTCTTATACTTATAGTGTCACAATATGACGCAATAGTACGTGGTACCTTGACATTTTCACATCAGACAAAAGACAAGAAAAATACAGAGCCAGATACTTTGAGATTACTACAATCCTGGCTCTGTAAATAGTGCTACAAGGAATTTTATGTTCGAAGAATATTATTAAGAAATAGTAAATTGTAGTGGTTTATTGTGGTTATTTTTCTATCAATTAGTTTTAGGTTACATCATACCAAAATAAGCTTTGAATTTTATACAAAAAAAATTAACACACAATCCAGACTGTTGTACATAGTACCACATGGATGAGTGAGCAGCTTCTTGAATCCAATACGTGATTTGCGATGTTATCCTATATTTATATTATTTTATATTAGTGTTGAGCTCAACATCTCGACTTTTGTCGGTTTTATAAATACCCCGTCCCGTAACACACGGGCAAAAAGATATCTATGTCCCCAATAACTTCAAATTGATAAAGTTAGATATGAATTATGAGAATTATTTACTGTAATTTAATTTTTAATGTGTAGTTTCATTGTATGAGAGGAACCTAACTAGTGTGTGTCTGTCGTGTGGTGCGTGTTATTTGCGGCCCTTCTCCTTCCTCGTCCTCGTCCTCTCCGTCTTACCCGTCATATGCTTAATGTATGTTGTGTGTCCAGTGTATGTGCTATGTTGAGTGGGTCTAGAGTGTCTGAGGATTGCGGTATGTGTGGCAATTGTTGCGAGCCCTGTGGTTGTGGGTCCTGTGACTGATGCATGTTTTGCGATTCCTGGGTGTTTTGTGTATGTTGTAAAAAGTGGAGGTTTTGATCTAATTTCAGTCATTTAAGAAAGTTTTGCAAGTGCAACCTTAAATTATAATTATTCATGTAAAAATACTTTATTTTTGTACTTGAATAAATTGTTTTTATCCTGCGACCTTTGTTTTGCTTTCTATTAAATCCAGTTACTATTAAAATAATTTTGTTCCATCTCTATTCATCTTTTTTATATTTTAATTGTTGTTTTTAATTTCACGTTACACACACATCAACAGTTTTTATTAGTCGACTGCTGGACATTGGTCTCTTCCTAGGAAGGAGGTTTTGGCCTACTACTTGTATACTACGCAGGCCAGCCGGATTGGTATAGGGGTGATTGTTTATTTACATGCATGTACTTATTGAAATATCTCGATTCACATATTAAGCTATATATGTATGAATATTATTTAGATTATACTCTGCTAATAATTAAATTGATGGACTACATATACATTTCATATCTGTTTTTTCATCCCTTATAAAAAAAATTAAGATTTTTGCGTAGTCAGAATCCAATTTCAAAAAATTCATGGATGACTTGAGGCAATAAAACATCTCTTTTGCCTATTATTTTGTGGAGTTAATGTGGTCTCAACCCGTGATATTAGCTTACACGATATTGAACTTGATAAATAGTTTTAGTAACTTTAGACAGACCGTCTAGCTTTTTGTCTTTGAATATTAGAGTGAAAAATTATTATTTGTATTCTTCTTCTGAGACTTTTGTTTAATGCATAATTATAATAAACATGAAAAAAGATGAGGATTTTCAACTTGCTCATTCTTTTATGCTAATATATAGTTTTAGAAATTATCTCACTCCAGTTTATTTAAATAATAAACATTAAATACTTGAGAGCCGCTAGTGTCGTCGCAAAATTTTAACCTTCGCTGACAATGTCGCATTTATATTTCACATAGACAAATGGGATAGTCTGGATTAGTCTTCACACAAAAGATAATAATAACATTTTCGAACATCTAACACAAAACGCCATCTAGTTTGAAACTAAGCAGAGATTGTACTATGAAAGCTAGATTGACTGATAGAATACTTATATACCTTTTTTTGTAAATACTTGTATCCCGAAACAAATATTTGCAGATCATACAAACATTTGGTTCGAACCGAGAATCGAACCCGAGATCTTAGTACTGCAGTCGCATACGATACCACTGCACCACCGTGGCAGTCTGATTATGATGCGTTTTTTTTGTTTGAAATCTGAAGTGATCATAATGGTTCGTAGCTATAATTTGTAAAAATAATCAGCTCATTTCATTAGTTGAAGAAGGGATCTCACTGACTTACACAACTCCGATTAATTTGAAATTTAAATGTACTGTTACTTTAGTGGCATTTCTATGGTATGGTAGGGTTGATGCTGATATGGGTGTCTGGGGAGTTCTAAATTTTCAATTTGTGTTATTACAGTCAAAAGAATTTCATCACAGTCATTAAACTACTCTATTTTATTTTAGTAATGGCAACCCATACTTTCTTACTGTGTGTCAGTAAGCGAAGGCGTTAGCAAAATCAGACTGATAGAAACATCTTAAAACCATCTTACCCATAAATCCCCATAAATCATGTTTACCTACTCGCAGAAGTTCGTCAGTTTTTTATTTACAACACCATATTAATACAATATAAGCTTCTCACGTGCAAACTCTCACACTTTAGTAAACGCCTAAAACATTAAGTTTGCCCTCCATTTAGTATAAGGCAATCCACAGGTTTTTCTAAAAGTAAACAAGAAATTGCATATGTACGTACTTTCAAAATTTATCGTATTTCATTAATTTACTATTAAAATTATGAAACAAGTTATGTATGAGAACCTAATAGATTTCAAGATTTCTAGTTCCTTTTATCAAAAAATAATATTATAAATCTACTTGCAAAATCCAAAACCCTAGGGCCGTCGATAAATAGCATTAATTTTCTCACGTACGCATAGTACGTGTAAATATAAGCAACTTTGGTTGAGTATATTTTGGAATGAGCACCATTGAGGGAACGTAGCAGAATTCACCTGAATGAGTAACTTGTTTTTCTTAGTTATTACGTTGTATAATATATGTTTATTGCTAGATTACAATCATTTTTAAATTTACAATTAGTGCTACAATGCCTGCCTATTAAGACCAAAATTTGTTTTTTTAATTTAAATTTACCTAAAGCCTAAAACAAGCCTAAAATAAGTCCCTAAAACCTAAGTTTAAATAAAGCTCTTGCTAACGTGTTGCACCAGCTGTCAGTTCAATTCTTCTAACAATTATTATTTCTGATTTCTACGAAATATGAAAAGAATACTCATTAGAAACAGTTTGGTTAACAAATTAATCCGACCCCAGCCAGCGATAATATGAATTACTTGATTACAGGTCGCAGAACTTAGAAATTTTTCATAATCTTCTGAGAGCCCTTAACTATTTTTAATCAGCTTTTGCCATGGAATCCTTTAATTACTGTTTATTACTTAGTAGTACCTTTATGCTGAATTTAGACTTTCAAGTAAAAAAATAATAATCCGATCCTGTCGCACAATTCTTTTTAGCTGATGTCTCCTACCTGTAAATGCTACCTGCTACCATAATGTTATTAATGAAGTAATTAATTGATTAAGATTTATACGTCTAAAACCAGACCCCCTGGATATCTCCCTAATTCGGACCTGTCGTAAAAATTTAAGCTGACGTCTTCTAGTCATAAACTACCTCCCTGATATTTATCTTAATACGTCAAGAAGTTTTCGAGCATTTGTGATAGTCAGTAAATGTCTTTGCGCTTTTATTATATACTAGCTTACCCGCGCAACTTGGTATTTGTCTTTCAAAAGGAATAAATATCCCCGTTTTTACAACGTTTTTCATTGATACTCGGCTCCTTTTAGTTGTAGCGTGATGTTATATAGCCTATAGCCTTCCTCGATAAATGGGATATCGAACTTTAAAATAATTTTTCAATTCGAACCAGTAGTTTCTGAGATTAGCGCATTCAACCAAATATAATTAATAATAAATATTATAATATTAATTATAATATTTGTATAGATAGAATTATAAAAAATGGAAACAATTTTATAATTCCGAAACCATTTTTATTTATACAAGATCTAAATGGCTAAACAGCATTAATAATACCATTTGGTGGTACAGCTTGTTGAACAGCTTGGGGATAAGCTTGTGGAAGAGCCTGAGGCAGAGCTTGTTGCGGATTTGCCTGGGGTATCTCCTGTGGCATACCCTTTACTATTGGAAGCTGATTCGCTCGGGGAACTATATCACCGAAAAGAGCCGGAGGAAATATTGCGGGAGGTGGTTGATTTACAATAGATGAAAGCGTTGAAGCAGTAGGAATAACAATCTCAACTATTTTGGAGGCGGTGGTTGTAATTATTTCCGATAAAGGCACAGTAGACGCATCAGGCCTGATGTCAACTTGAGCATCCATTTCATTCTTATTATTATCTTCAATTTTCTTTGTGTCATCAGACTTTGCTTTTGCTATGATTGTAGTCGCTCTTTTGTTTACACAATCCAATAATTTGCGATCTTAAACAAATTATGATATTAGAAAATACATAAATGTATATTTTTTAGTATAGGAGGGCAAATAAGGAGACGGGTCACCTGATGGTAAGTGAGTACCGCCGCCCATGGACACTTACAACTCAAAAGTCACAAGTGCATTGCTTTACCTTGAGCCCCCCCATTAGCCCCCCGCAAAAAAATCTACCCTCCCCACCATGAATTAAGGGGGAGAGAGCTTGGTCTAATGTAATAACAAAAACACTGTCGTCTAATCGTCATAAAACTCAAGGTTAAGTTTGTTTGTCTTATATTGACCCCATTTGTATTGAGGCTTATGTCCAGCAATCTAGGTTACGTAGGAATATTTACTTCTTACCAATAAATATGTTGCTGAGGCCCGGGATGAACACGGCACTTTCTCCAACACCCAACTCTATGTTAGCTTGGCCAACGTTGGAAATTCCGGTTGAGTTAATATTTATGAATCCTTTACCTAAAATTAAACTTGTAAGTCAAAAACCGTTTTAATAATTTTACACATTTTCTTTTATTATGGAAGGGAAATCTTTATTACTGATATATATTATTGTTAGTTACTTTCACGGCATATTATTCTTCTTTTAAATTCTAATGAGGAAATCAATTTATGTTAACAAAGCATGCCTGGAGCATGTAACAAGTATTCTATTATCCGGGCCAACATAGATATCAGAAATCGCTTAGGCTTACTACTTGAGTAGAACTTCAAACTAAACTATGTTTTTCATGCTTGTATTGTATTTATTGCATTTTAAATTAGTAAAATAATAACATTAGAATAAAATCGTTTTAAAATTGACGTTAGGTATTAAATTGTATGACGTAAATTTATTTTCCTTAGCTAAAGCTTGAGATGAAACAAACATGTTTTTGTTTGTATAAAATTGATATGTGATGATAAACAAAACTGATACGGTTAGACTACTCAAACATTGTAACATTTGTGCAGCCAATGTTTAAGAATTCAACCTCCCGAAGAATTGAAGGGACTGGGCTATTTATCTACGTTCTTACTATTCAAGGGAAACTCGACGAATTCCCTTAATTAAAACTAAGAAAGGTACAAATCCTTAATTAAAGTAATGAATCCAAAATTACCATAGTAATTGATTGCACGGAACAAGAAAAGTTCCAACGCTTTTATTTTACAAAACAAAATTAAAGAATTCCTTTTATATATCATCCTTGTAAGCTGAGTTAGTGGTTTTCTAATTTATAGGGAGTTCAAACAATACTGTATTTGAATTTCATTAGACCGAATTTCTTGCGACATATTGTCTTTCATGAATTATTTAGTTACATACGTAACAGGTACAAGTAACTAAGATATTGTTCGTAAATTCCAGAAGATCATATATTGCTATTATTGTCATTAGTAATTATAAGATTCGAAATAAATTTAATTTTTAATGTAACAATAGTCTTGACACAACTATTTGATTAACAAAACAGTATTACAAAGGATATTAAATTCTACTGTACCCATTGTAAACACGTAAAGAATACCTAGTCTTATTAAAACCATCTTATAATTTTAACCATTGTTCGTTGCCAATGTTTATGTTGATAAACCCTGGGTGAGTTTTTTCAACTTGAATTACTATTTCACAACTATTTCATGTTTTTTTAATAATAAGTTTTGCAAACAAAAGTACAGAAATATTTTAGTATGGGTTTAGTTCATATCTTCTTGGTAGATTGATTGAATTCGTAGAAAGAGAATAGGCAAAAGGAACACTATATCATAGGAGCGCTGGCAAAATGTATGTCCGAGTTTTAATAGCGGTATTGTTTCAATACCATGGCTGCAATAAATAAACATTACGCCATGACCGCTTATTATATGGTTATGCAAATATTATTAATATGCAGATAGGAGTATGATGGAGTTATGAATCAGGAGGGAGATGGACTCGGTTTCAAAGAGACCACGTATGTAGATGAATGATGATGATGACCGTAAACAATCGAATCGAATGTATCGAAGAGAACCAAAACTTGAAACAAACCCTATACCAACCCGTCTGGCCAGCGTGGTATAGTAGGCCAAAACCTCCTTTCTAAGGAGAGGCCTATGTCCAGCAGTGGACTGTTATAAGCTGTTGATGAAGATGAATCGAATTATAAGTACAAAGTATAATTACTCGAATTCCCATATTTAAGTTTCAAATCTGCCTCTCCAACAGCGCTTATGCCATTTATTTTAACATTAACGTCAACATTTTTGAGCATACTTTCACACTTATCGCGTTCTAATGCATCGAGATGTTTCCCATCAATAGTTTTCTTCTTCTTTTTGTCTCTTACTTCCTTTAGTTTTGATTCTAGCTGAAAGCGGAGTCAATGAAATGAAAAATCTTAATAAATAAACTTTATATTAAATAGTTTTTTTTCTTTCGAAAACAACAGATAAGAATAGTTTTTTTTTAACCTGTGATAAATGAACTAATGATAAATTATACCGCCATTAGATCTTAAAAATTGCCAGTTGTAAAATAAAAAAATTGAATGTAACCTAACTTACATACCTACGTAAGTCGAGCAGTAATAAAGGCTTACAAAAAACGAATTCAATCAAAAAGCCGAATACGAAGAGGCTTTTTTCACACGTACATGTGGGTATTCGTATATACAAAGAAAAGCTCTTCAAAAGCTCGAAGGCATCACCAAATAATTGTTTTTTTTTTTTTACATTTTGTACTTCAAGGGTAATGTGACCAATGATGGGTGTTTGGGTTAGATTTTCGTTATAACTCTATTATTGAAGTAACAAATTCTGAATAAGTAAGTTCAATAATGAAAGTTATAAAATTATATTGATCTCGTTCTGAGAAATAAATATTAAATACTTCAATCAATAGTAAATAAATATGAATTTTGTTCCAACATGAATTATCGTCACAATTTAATGTGACGGATTTTGATATTTTTTTTACAAACTTGCACTAACTAACATAAAGTATAGACAAACGTCGCTATTCAGCATTTTCTTCTCCAAAGCTTTACTTTCAAAAAATATACGCACCATATCCAATAATATTTCTTTTTGTTCTAGAAATGCTTCGTCAACTATATTGCTCCTTCTTTTATCTAACGTCGGTTTTGAGCTATGTCCAGTTTTATTTGCTTCACTGCCTTCGACAATAACCATTATCTATGCACAAGAACAAATTAATGAAAGTAAGAAACTAAGTAACTTTTATATGTAATGGGCGCTACTTTAGGCCTTTTAGAAAAAAATTAAGTTATTTCTCACTACTGACTCCTACAACACGTATTATAAAATTAATGAGTGAATTTACGCCAATTTCGTCCACAACATAAACATATATTTGTAGTTTGATGTCTCTTTGACCCCATCTCTTAAGAACTAAAAAAGTACACAATTTAATGGCGCCATTCACTATTTATACCATTAAAAAATTGATTAGTTAATCTCAATACGATTAACTGTTAAAATTCTTCTCTTATTTACAGCAAGAGAAGATGATGAATATTTTTTTTATAGATTTATAAACTATTTAGTTTAATACTAGAAAAAAATAGCAGAAGTTTATCATGTTATCCAATTCCTCTTAATAACATCAAATAAAAGTTACTTATTTTTTTGACATGATTGGCAAACGTTTTTTTATTCAGGTTATTTTCTACATTCAAATACACAAAAAAAAACTATCCAAATAAACACTAAAATTTTGAAATTCATTGTCACTTAATTTGGGCTGAATAATTTACGTCTCAGAGTCACCGACTTTGATAAAATTATCAATGGAAAGATCTGACTGGACAAAGTGGAAAACAAGTTTCTAACTTTCTTTCCATTTGTTTCAATCTGTGGTCTGTAATTAAATTGCTATTTCAATAAAAGGTTAATACTCAAGTGATCAAGAAAGATACCTGTTTAAAAAAACAGTGGCACACTGGGAGTGTCGTCAGAAGAATCTTGTTTAAAAAAAAAAGATAATAACAGGAAAAAAATTGTTTGTTTTTGAAAAGTTCCGATATCAATATATGTCTATTTTGTGCATTTATACACAACATGTGTTTAAATTATATATTGTTAAATACTGTAAAGTAATTCAGCCGTTGTTTTTCAGCGAGTGAGTGAGGTTACCGAAGTTCTAAGCTCTTCTTTTCTTAAACCTTGGGCGGGAGACAAAAGGCGGCAATGTACTTGAGACTCTTGAGTTGCAGGTGTACGGCAGTAGTCACTTATCATCGGCGCCTCAATTCTGCTATTCTAATATTGTATCAATAGACTATCGAAGGAATGTCGTCGGAATAGTTTTGCACTTTTCGTATTTTACTATATAAGACCAACGGCTGACTGATACAAATTTCGTCGATGTCTTTGTAATAGTTTGGTAAACAAGTACATTTTAAATTTGTAAGAAAATTTTATATTTAATTTTCCAGGTATGGCAATGTTGCTGTTTCTGTTGGTGACCTATATTACTATATCGACAGTCTATTGACACTGAATTTATGTTAGTAGAATTTTGACCGATGTCAATGGCGTCTCATTGGTATCTCAATAGCTTGTCAATGGAATGACAGTGACTTGGCGTTAACATAAAATAACAGAATTGAGGCCAAGGTGACCCGTCAGCTCGTTGTCACTATTCCATAAAAAAAACTTACTAGAAATTTTATTTCGATTTAAAAATTAAGTAACTCTTGTCTTTATCAAATAAAAAAGATATTGTCGTCCAGAGCCCAAGCCTTGGGGTCTCTACCTTTGATATTTGTTATCTACAGGTTTTGGATGTTTTAATCAGATCCTACAATTCCCAACGCTTTTACGCCAGGTTTGTAGGTACCATAAAACTGGCTCTAATTTTGTTAATGTGACAGATATTACATCACGAACAGTTTTAATGAGTTTCACTAGTCGAATTAATTATTAGTGAAACATTGCTTTAATTATGCTAAAACTCAGAAGAAAGCAGGTTCTACTGAAACGGTTGAAACTGTAATTTGAACGTGTTCCACATTTAAATTTTACCATAATTAAGATACTTTTTATTAATTTTCTCGTTGCATCGATCGAATTTCACCCGTGATCTCGGGTTAACAATTATTCACTTACGATCAAGATCAAGACTGATAAGTCGCGAAATTAGGAACAACAAATCTTTAGACCTATTTCTTAGCGTTCAATGGTTTCACCGTGCGGGTGCCGGATCCATCGCGTGATAAATGGGGGCAACGCTTGCGACTTCGACAGCGCCTGGGAATTAGCCCAGGTATAGGTTTAGAGAGTACTCTTTGCGACGCGTCAATGCAAATATGTTTAGGTAGAGAGGTAACACAGCAGACAGTGAAGTCTACTGTTTTACCCCTCTACCTAACCATATTTGATACGAGCCTAGCAGACTGCACGGATGGCGTAGTGATTTAAGCGGTCGCCACGCCGCTTCCTACTACGCCGAGTGTTGTGGGTTCAAACCCTACATGGGACGACACTTTGTGTGATTCACAAATTGTTGTTCTGAGTCTGGGTGTCCTTTGTTTTCGTTTCATGTATGTTTGTAAAGTCCTCTTGGCAATCCAAGGTGTTTGTGTAATAAATGCCAAATATCTTGACATATTTTGTGTATGTAACTTAATAGCTACAGTTGACACCAACATGTTTATTTTTAGTAATTACTTATGTCTCCTTTCTTATTTCTTTATTTAGTTATAATATTTGAAAAAGAAATTGTTAATTAGTCAACTCGATGCTTATTAGAATATAAGGTACTTAGGTACGAGTACTTTAAAGTGTTTGAAATATTAGTGTTGTGACAATTTTGAATATTATCTTCTATATTGTATTATTATTTGTGTATACTTTTGGTGAACCTTAAAATTTCATAATAACGAGAATTCGTAACTAAAAGTTTGAGTGAAATAAATACTCGGATAGAACAAGTTACATTTAAGTGAAAATAAATACTCGTATAGAACACCTATAAAATTGACATGAAAACTGATAAGAGCTTGCTTACAAATCACGTGTACTCGGGGAAAATAATGCTCCAATGAAAAACACGTGCACTGTTCTATACAATGCATGTTTTTTATTTCATTTTATATAAGTATTGCATAAATAAATTATCTCATTCCTTATTTTCTATAACTCTTTATGCTGTAGACCGATTTTCCCAATTTTCTTGGGTACATCATTAAGGATTTGATAAACTATTTGTGTATTTATTATTATAGTTAATTATACTTCCTATTTGGTATTTTTTAAATTTAATAAAAAAATAGCTCCCTCAATGAAAAATTAATGAATAAAAAAAATATTTCATTACGATTCGTCATGATATACCCGTAATGAAATGGATGATTCTGTTTTAAAAGTTAAGTATTTTAAATGTTTTTTACAAAATATTTATCATCATCATCAGCCGGTCCGCTATAAGAAGCTCTAATCTAAACACAAAATATAAACCTTAGATGTCAGGTCAAAAAAAAAAACCTCCTAAGCTAATGAAGAACAAAGATTTTTACAATAACACTAAGCGTTGAAATGATATCACAAAGTAACGGAGAGGTATAGAGCCATATCGTTGATGTTAAAACAAAATGGCCGAATTCCACACGTTTTAGTACATACCAATAGCGTGAATGCCAAATGCGTAAGCGCCATTCCTGCGTTGTACTGTAGCAAACCAATAACTCTGAGTGTTGCCTGTGCATGAAACATTTGTGAAATAGAGACATAAAACTGGTGACGTAATAACTTCTAGTCGTAACAAAATGGGAAATTATTTCTGTATTGTAACTAAAAAAAATATTAGAAAGATGAAATTATTTTAAACACACTGTTCATGTGAATCTTGTATGTTTTAAATACTTATTTGAAAACCAGTTTTCTTTAATGTCTTCAAGTAAAATACTCATTAGTTAGTCTATTAGTATACACAGGTTACTCAGTCATGGTGCAAATCCCTTTTAATATTTTAATATCAAATATCAAGGTCAAAAACACAATTTTTTAATTCTGGTTTACACCAGGATTTAAAAATAGTATCTGCTGATTCTAAAGCACAAATTTTCTATTAGAAACTTTAAAATTACCCTCAATAGTAGGTAATTTACGAAACTTGCAACACTAAACGTATACAGTTTTACGACCGGTTTCAGAAATCGACGTGTATAAATAAATACAATTTAAGATCATTTTATGGCCTGCATTCGCTTGCCGAAATGCATTTGGATCAAAATAGGAACATATAAAACGACACTTCACTTCGTATGATATGGAGTTCCTTCACCGACTATAAAATAACTTATTCGATGCTAATATTCTGTTGTTTCATCCCTGAATTACACAAAATACAACAAATATCCCTAGAATATTGTCACCATTTTAAACATATCTTTACTTAGGAATGTTACTACATATTTTAGTAACATTAGCTTACTCTGAAATTATAAAAGCTTAAGTATTCTATAATACCATTGTTATATATATTTATATACCATAAAACTTTTTAGGCACAAAATTTAACTAACTTTCGCGGCATGAGGTTTCAGCATGGTGGTTGCCCAGCACATTATAGGAGAAGAATGGCTGGAATCTAATTACTAATAAATAAGTGGGTTGGATGGCTCGTGCGGGTACGCATTGGCAGTATCCGTAAGAAATCAAATCATCAACCAACCATCTCCAACAGTATCAGAAGCATAAGTCAAAGTTCAGTTAGCAAAAGTTAGTCATGAATAGAAAAAGAAACGATTCAAAATAACAATCCAAGTTTTCAACTAGGTACTACCGGGTTGTACGCTAATTCTTAATACTCCCGGTCTTTCATCTAAGTTTTTTCTATGAATTCTGATACTATCCTAGACTATTATACCTTGTTAGATAGCTGACAATGCGTAAATATTTTTAAACATATCTGTTCATACCGTGGGTGTTGTAGGAGTCGACAAAAAGAGCAAACTATACAAGACAACAACACTGCAAAGAGAAGGAAAACTTAAAACAAACCCTATACTAAACATATATAGTAGGCCAAATCCTCCTTTCTAAGGAAAGACATATGTCCAACAGTGCACTTATTAAAGGCAGTTGATGATGATAATGAACTATGGGAGATATGTGGACTGAAAGTCACGAACGCTTGAATATGGTAGAGTAAAGAATTAGTTGTTTTTTTTACCACATTCACACAATGCCATCTGGACCCAAACTACGCAAAGCTTGTACTTTGGCTACTAAACAACTGATATAAATACATATATACTTTTTTTTGTAAATACATACTTATTATACATAGAAACACCCAGACCAAATCAAGCAGAATATGTATGTTCATGCACACAAATGTTTGACTTGAGCGGGAATCGAACCCGCGACCTTTGGAATAGCAGTCCATTACACAAATTACCACGCTATTCGGTCGTCACTACCACCACCATTTGGTTCTGAATATATCGTAAAATAGAAGTACATTATCTATTCATATATGCACATAGTTTTGTTTATATGATGCATCACAAATTTAACCAATTCTTCTGCAACATAAATACGCTCTCAGTTTTTCTATCGAACGAACTCTATCTTTGGATTCCGAGAAACTGTTTTTTTTAACCGAATTTAAAAAAAAAGTATCTAAATGTATGAAATGTATGATACTATGTATAAATTTACCAAAATAAATTATATCAAGGACATATCAAGCTAGTTTGAATTGTCATCATCATCAGCCTATCGCAGTCGACTGCTGGACATAGGCCTCTCCCGTTGCACGCCACTGAGATCGATTTTGGGGTTCTCGCATCCAGCTCCATGAATATCCAATATCACGAGGCTTGTTTCTTCAATAGTTATATGATTTGCAATTTTAAATTAAATTAATGCTGGCTATGATTATCATCTAATATTCCCCAAATAGGTATTTAAAGATAAACTTTCTAAGTTTTTCTATATTTAACCTATACTACTCTAGCACTGGCTCCCAATAGAGAATAAATAAAGCATTCATATCATTCTCGGGTGGCGCCCTTTAAAAAATTACGAATTTGCCTGCACTACGTATTAAGGAAGCCTATTGGCGAGAGTAGGCGAATTTTTATTTATTTTCATTCCAATTTTTTTGCTTTCTTATTTTCTCTTCAAAATACAAATAAATCATGTAATAGAAATTTAGAAAGCGATTCAAATTCAGAAATATTTTAAATATACCTGTTCACTTGTAAAGTTATTATGTGTATCATCGATGTGCATACTCGTACACTGATATGCATACTCCTTGCAGGTCAAGGGCAGACAATACATAATAATATAAAGAAAACGATTGTGCGACTAATAATATATAGGGAGCTTAAGGGCTTAAGGGGGGATAATAATTATTGTCTACTGACAGTGCTGTATTCTGCACAAATACAGAAGACTGATTTTGGAATACTCCTATTATTCTACTTGTTAGAATATTTGACATTGCATTTGTCTTGTACTTGGGTTTGGAAAGTTCCATATGGATTGGTTGAGTATTTTAGATGGTGTGACATGGTATCAAACAAATTCATTTTGCATTTATCAATTATGTTTTGCATGAAACTTGTTGTATAATTTAGTATTAGCGATTCGTTTGTAAGTAAGTAATATATAAAAGTAATATCAAAGATGTTTAAATAACAGGTTTTAAATATATATTTTTATTAATGTTTACAAATGTTTTGATTGAAATCTTAACAACAACCATTTCTCATTAGTTATGAAAGTTCTAAAATTAATTTTCGTCCATAAATCATTAAAGCACTAAATCTAAAACCCAAGACTGCTGCAACAGTACATTTATAATCTCATTTCGGTCGAAAATTTGCTTACAAATGGTATTTCTCAATCGTTGCGATAAATTGAAAAGCAATAAAACCTAAATCAAAGTTGCGAAACAAAAAGAATTTGATTTCTGCCGAATTTCAATCAATTCGTTATTTCTTGTAGACCAAAGAACAGTAAGTACCTTTTTCAATACAAAGTTTTATGCTTTTATCCATTTTTAATGCCTTACTCTTTATCCAGTTACAACTTTGGCTGTACTTTACTTTACTTATTTTTCTTCTATAACTTAATATAAACAAAATTCAACTAACTAAAAGAAAGGTTCGTAAATTAATATGCCACAAACAGTCCTGGAAGTATATTATCTTATAATATAATACACTTTTACAGCCTAGCAACTTCAAGACATCGTAAGTAAAAATGTCTGATCAATTAATCCTAAAATTAAATTGAATTAGAATTAAAACACAAGATGCATTAGTAACTAGAACAGCGCTGTATTTTGTTGTAGAGTATGCTGTTATACACTGTGGCAGTAATAGTGGCGTATCTGGCGATGGCATCGTCCAGGGAGACCATACGACCTATGCCTACTATAACAAACTCCCTGGTGAATCTCGGCAAAATGGAAATCTCATTTTATTTCAACGGTAACGATCGTGGTAAGATACGGATAAAATAAAACGAAAACTTCCCAAAGACACAAATGAAATTGTCATAAGTAGCGAATACGAATATATTGTATATATCCTAAGCCTGGGGGAATATGATTTCTTAGCTCACTGCTCCTTTGTTTCTTATATAAGCTTTGAAACATTCAAAAGTTTTTTATTTTATTTGTACGACATACAATTTATAACTTTGTTCATTACAGATTCATCCTCCCAACATTACGATCATGTTTCAAGATCAATGGGACCATTTATAAAACCTGAACCTGTTATTGAAGATGCGTGTCCCTGCTCGAGCCTCCGCAATTTTAAAGACCTCAACAATCCTGCTGGCATTCTTAACAAAATTCTCATGAGTAATGATTTGTTCTCCTTTAATAGAGAACCCGTAACTTCAACCTTATGCTGTGAATCACACGAACACGTACAAGATGGTACTGTTATTTTCGAATTCCCCAGCAACCCAAAGAATATGAAACCAGTGGCACGTAGTAATACTGTACCCGTAGAAGGTAACTCAGTTCCTATATCAAATAACGGTTTACCCATGTTGCCATTCCTATTTGAAACCGCGATTCCTAACAAATCAATGTTACCTTCTCTGAAGACAAAATCAATTGAAATATTTTTGTTCCCGAAGAAAAAAGAAATGGGTATTGCTAATACAGAGAGACTGCCATCGAAGAAGAGAGATTTAAGTTCTAAAGATAATATTCAGGTTGTAGGAGATAAGGATATCAAAAATAATGTTAACCTGTTCAAGCCAGTTTTTCCAGTCGTGAAAAAAGATTTGACTTTTCAAGATAAGAACGAGAAACTAAAAGAGAAGGAACTGCAAAGAGAAAAAGCCAAGGAAAAAGAAGAAATGGAAAAAGTAGAGGGTAACCAAATTATAATAGAACCTGCAAGCAAACCTAATGCAGTGTAAATTAATATTGTAATAAATGTATCGCACGGTTAAATTAAATACTTCATATCTTCATTTGAATTATACTCTACCCAATTTTTTGTGTAAAATTTTAAAATTACTTTTTCTGCCTTTTTAGATCGAACTCAACAAAAAACTATCCCAAAAGATATTGCCCAACTTAACTAAAAGAAAACAAAAGTCAGTTATTATACGTTTAGAATCAAAATTAACTTTAATGTTGTTTAACATAATATATAATATTTAGAATTAAAAGGGTGTTTTTTAAAAGTTTAAAAAAATATTTACACTTAAACAGTATTAATATTCTTTTATTTATATACTTTTTATTTCATAAAAATCGTTAAGGTAACTGATAAAAAATTCAATTTGATATTAATCCTGCCCCATACAATATAAAATGCAAGAAAAATAAATAAATATAAAAACAATATACTCTACTTGGTAGAGACGGTTTTTTTTACTAAAAATATTTTAATTTTAAATGATGTGAGATTAAATTATTTATTAATAACAACAGTCTGCAAAATAAATATAAGCTGCAAACTTTGAAGCAATTGCAAATATCAAATTAATCCTATACATTTATTTGTCTTTGTAATTAGCTTATGAAGGGTAGAAGCAAGGAGAACCATATCTGTGTATGCAAAGTGTCCAATAAGAGTGCCATAGCCTTGAATAAATTTTAAAGAAGTGTCAAAGTAATAAGGATAAGATAGACTAATAAGATCACGTAAATAGTTGAGGTTTTGTATACTGGCTTTTTACTAACTACTCTGATCATGAAATCAGCACACTTCACTCCGTCTACATGTTCATATCGTAGTTTTTCGTAGGCCAGCAAACTCTATTTTCAGGGTACAGCTGGACACTTTTTCAACTTTCCCCCATATGAGATGGTTCTCTTTGCTTCTACTTTCCATAAATTAGCTGTAATTACGACCGCTAAACTTTAAAGGCTGGATTGTAATGAAACTGTTGTATATCATCAGAATAACAAATATTTCGCTAATACAGTAGTACAATGCCAGCTAATGTACACATTAGAATAAACAGCTTGAGTTGCAAGGCAGTAATCTATATCGTGCGCAACAATACGTTCAGCCTCAACATGATTTACGTGGGTAGATTCTCGCTCAGTTACCCCGGAACGTGCTTCTAATGTTAACTACCCTCATTTGAATTTGAATATCTGCAGGTATCTGTAATGAGACACGGCTTCATTGGGGTCAAAAAATAGGTTAACTTTTTATTATGATCACGGATTAGAACATAAAATTTGTATTCATATCAACTGGTTTAAGCGTAACTCTTTAGGCTTAGGCGCAAGTTCAATCCAAAAACAAATTAGATTGTGTGTACTCACTGTTTTTCCTTTCGCTGCTGCCTCTTCTTCTTGAAGGCTCGTTTGACCCTCAATAGCAAGAAGGCGGCTCTATCGATAGTGAGTACTGATGGCCGCTTGGCGGCGCTGGGCTCATCCATTCCCTCCTCTTCGGCCGGTTCATCGCACAACCTCAGGCCAAGCCATCGCTGTTTGGTTGTATTTCTCGTTTTGACGTCGACGCGAACTGCCGTTTCTTAGAGCTAGTCTATAGCATTTTATCTCTCGATACACATATAAGTCACGTAAATATATTATAATTTTAATTTTCAATAACTAAAGAAATCTTTCGTAATAACACTTTTAACACTGTCACTGTAACGTTATCCTAAATCTATCACTGCGTTTCTGATCACGAAATTTAAACCTGAAACAAAGGAAAAACACGTAAGAATTCGTTCACACTTAAAAATTATCACACAAATTTAAATTTTTAAATGATACGACAGCCTCACAGAAAGACAACTAAAGATTTGCTTAACATCGTTTTTACGATATAAGTAACCTTTGGAATAACCCTCCCCCCTAACATTTTTTTTTATTTTTTTAACGGGGGGAAATCCTAATGGACTACCTCCGCCTGGGGAAAGGCGGAGGGGCGTGCCGGACTCTTACCGGCTATAACCACCCCGGTGTCCCCTTCACCGGCCTCTTGCCACGTGCCCGCTCTTCCTCGCGTCAGCGCTATAATGACTCGAGGTACCAGGTATCAGGGCGGGGATCCGGCCAGGACGCAAGCCGCATCGTAGGAAATCGTGCGATACCCGCGGACGACTCTGACGGCCATCGCCCTCTGCGGTTTGCGCAGAATGGCGAGAGTGCTGGCCGTCATGTCCATCGCCCACACAGGGGCCCCATACAGAGCCATGGACTTGGGACATTCCCACGTACAACCAGGCGCTCGGGCCCCCCAAGTTGGGAAGTAACGTTGAAAGCGCGCCCGCTGCACCCATCAGCTTGGGCGCCAGCCGCCGGAAGTGGGGCCCGAATTCCCATCGGCTGTCGAGCACCAATCCCAGATACTTCATGGTGGACTCGACAGCTATCCGGGCCCCGCTGACCACGATGTGCGATCCCGGCGCCGACGCACGTCGGGGGCCATGAAACACCATAGCCTCCGACTTGTTTAGGGCCACCTCCAGGCCCAGGCGCCGGATGCGGTTCACCACCTGTAACACCGCAGCCGTGGCTATCAACGCCGCCTCCCTGTGCGAGCTCCCCCGGGCAGTGACAAGCGTGTCGTCCGCATAACACGTCAAGTCGGCGCCCGAGGCGAGCTCGCCTCTCAGCACCCAGTCGTAGCCGATATTCCACAGGAGTAGTCCCAAGACCGATCCCTGTGGAACACCGCACGTCATGAGGTGCCGATGGGCACCGTCACGTCCCCGATAGGTGACGCATCTACCCTCCAGATAAGCCCCTACCGTACGGCGGAGGTAGGGAGGCACGCGATGGTATTTCAGAGCCTCCCGAATACAACTCCAGGGTAGGGTGTTGAATGCATTGGAGATGTCTAAAGACACCGCCAGCACCACCCCATCCCGGGACACTGTCTCCTTCGCCAGGGCCCTCACACGCATGATGGCGTCTATGGCCGTCCCCGACGAAAACCAAAGTGGTTGTCGTCCAGGTCCGGCCCCTCCCTGCACAAGTGGCTGACGAGACGATCTGCGATAATGCGCTCAAAAAGTTTGCCCGCCTCGTCGAGCAGCACTATGGGCCGATACGCGGACGGTGAGTCCGCCGGGCGCCCCTCCTTCCTGAGCAGGACCAGCCTCCCCTCCTTCCACACACTGGGAAACTGACCCTGCTCGAGACATGCCGTGAAGAGCCCCCTCAGCTGGGGCTCTAGCTCCTTCAGAGCCAGGACGAGAGCTCGACCAGGAACTCCGTCGGGTCCGGGCGCTGTGTTCTTAGCCCGGAATCTCCCCCCTAACCTAACTCAACTGCCCGGTGCGAAAAAAGTGGGACTACCTGGCCCGGGCAAATACAACCTACGCCTAACCCACACACAATAAATCACATAACACCTACACGCAACCACAAAACACACAGGAACACAAACAAAAACATACACAAACATGAAGCACACAAAAACATAAACACAAACAGATACACAGAATGTATAATAAATAAACACGATGGTATCAGTACAGGAACACAAACACATACACGAACACTCAAAAGAAAAATATGGTATGAAATAGAAAATTAGCAGAAGAAATGTCAATAAATATATGTATATTAAATATAAGTATATATATTTATACAACAAGAAAAGTACACAACACTACAAAACTCACCAAACCGCTAAATAAAAATGTAAGTGATGTAAAATATAGACGTAAATAGATTTAAGAAATAGCAATGCATACTAGAAATGTAACAAAAAGTGAATAGTGAAAATATAAATGTAAAAATAATAATAGAGTTAAGAAATAGTAAATGTAAACATTATTATATAGTAACCAAGTAATTAAGTAGTATTGTATATAGTATATTAGTAAACAGCTGAAAGCTTAAATGTAAATAACAATGTAAAATAATAAGAGGAAATCCCATCCAAGGGATAGTGTGGATACACATCATAAATAGATTAGGCATGTAGGATAAGTTTACCAAGTTCCCGATGTGCTATGATTGGTGACAAGCGAAAAAAAACCAAAAAAAAAACCCTAACTCAACTCTGGTGATAATGAGCACACAAATATAATATTTATAAAAAAATGTGTCCGTGTGATGACGGATTAAGAACACGGAGTGTCACCATTCGATATTCGCAAACTAAACAGGAGACTACTGCAACGAGAAGAAACACTTAAAATAAACCCTATAACAACCCTTCCGGCCAGCGTAGTATAGTAGCCCGAAACCTCCTTGCTAAAGAGAGGCCTTGTTGAAGTTGATGATATGAAATTTGAATTTTTGATACTTAAAGGATTATATTACTACTCAAACTGACGCGGTCCTTATTAAAAACATCAATTCACTGTATTGAAAGGTGGCCGTTACGGTTTTCGGTTCTTGGCCAATTTCTATTCCGTTGTAGTTTAGAATAAATTTTAAACCCATTTAGCGTTAACTTTGCTTAAGACAGTTCTGACATTCCGATGGCTTTTAATGTTACTTTGATCTTATTTAGTTAATACGTTCAAAATGAACAACGGAATACCAATAAAGCAATTGTTATTAAACAAGATTATCTTTGTCAAACTAAAATAGGTTGTCTGTTTCACGTGTTTAAAATACGAAATATTGGTAGGCAAGACAATAGTAAATGTTATTTTAGGCTAATTTTACTATATAGAGGCTTGCCTATGTTATAGGATTTCATTTTTTCGTCCAAATCTAATTCTAGATACAGATATGAAACCTAAACCAACTGGAACTATTATTAACAGTCGATAATTCAGGCCTATATATAAACAATATCTCTTTCTACCATTGCCATTTCTTCTTATCCATTTTCTTTTCTATTTGCAGAATATTTTTCTTCTAATCCCTAGTGCCCAATCGACGGCAATAAGCTTGTCTAATACGTAGGTATGTGGGGGCTAAAATCATAGTTGGCTAAATGTAGGCGTTAATTGGACCTTTGTTTTTTTTCTTTGGGTAT